GATAGGGCCTCAAAGCAAAACTTAAAATAACAGGCACCAAAAAACTCATTTTCTGAGGATCATAACTGGAATACTTAGCTCTGTCATGGGCTCAAGGTTTCTCACAAGGTTATGAAGGCATAAGCCAGGACTAGCGCCTTCTCATGGTTCAACTGGGAAAAGATCTCTGCCCAATCTCCTTCAGCACTGGTTGCAAACCCATCAGGTCGCAGGAATAAGAATCTCAGTTCTCTACTGGCTACTGGACAAAGGTCTCCCAGTTTACAGATAAGTAATTGACCCTTTCAAAAGTTGGATTCATCAAAATGAGCAAGCAAGAGAATGCCAGGGAAAAAGTCAATCACGCAGAAGCACATAAAAAGATATTAGCCTTTCTTATCAGGGAAATGCAAATCAAAATCAAAATGAGCTTTACTAGTTTATGAAAACAGTGATTATCAAAGACAAGAAATAAGACTATGAGACTACACAGAGCAAAGGGATGCCTGTACAATGCTGGTGGAGATGTACATTGGTGCAATTACTGCCAAAAATAGTATGCCATTTCCTAAAAAATGTAATAGAAATACTTTATGATCCAGATATTCCACTTTTGGGTGCTTATCCAAAGAATGTAAAAACACTAATTCGAAAAGAAACACACACCCCTATGTTCACCGCAGCATTATTTGAAATAGCCAAAAGTTGTAAACAAACTGAAACGACAATGACACATGAGATGATAAAGAAGATGTGGCTGAATGGAAGTGGAGAGAATCATGCAGAGTAAAGAGAGCCAGGAGAAAGACAGATACAAAATGATTTCTTACAGATGAGGAATCTAAAGAAGCACAGGAAAAGGACTGAAAAATAGTCTACAGAACTAAGTTTAACAAAGGTGGAGGAGGAGAGGGGCAGGGATGGGAGGAGAGGGGCAGAGATGATCATAGGACAGTAGTAAAGGGAAGCAGACACTCTAGTGGTAGGTATGGAACATTGTATGCATGAAGCTGTCACTAACAATACAGTACATTATGGGCTGGAGCAATAGAATAACCAGTAGTATAGCAGGTAGCCCAACCTGGTTCAATCCCTGGCACCTCATATATTCTCTCAAATCTGCCATGATCACAGAACCAGGAGTAATCCTTGAGCATCACAAGGTATATCCCCCAGAACAAAACAAACAAAACAAAAGCTCCATACAACTATGTGCTATGGATATGCAATATGCAGTTCTAGAAAAAGAATCCTACCATGTACATTTCTATAATGCATTCGTGTGTGTGTGTGTGTGTGTGTGTGTGTGTGTAAGCGCACGCGTGCGCGCGTGTACACATGTGGGAGAGAGAGGAAGAAAAAGAAAGTGGAAGAGAGAATACAATCTGGATGAACCTGGAGGGTATTATACTAAATGAAATAAATTAGATTGTTTCACCTACATATGATAGAAACAAAAGAAACAAAACAAAACACTTGTAAACAACAACAAAAAAATAGTCCTATACTAAGTTCCTCCCCACACAAGTTTCTTTTCCTTTCTCTTCTACTTCCTAATAACCTTTCTACTTTCTAACTCTGAAAAAGAAAATAAAAGCCCACAAACTCTTCTGCTTTATGAATGAAATAGTGGTCTCCTGAAGGAAGGAGGAGTAGGATAGGTGAGTCAGATAAAAAAGGGATCAATTAAATGGTGATGGACAGAAGCTAAGCTTTGGTATTGATGGCGATGAGCATGATATTGTATATAAAGATGTTGATATGTAACTCTGTATACCAAAAACCCCATAATGTTACTTCAACTATGAGAAAACTCTTCACAAAGAAAAAAGAAGAGGAAGTCATAGTCTTTTATAACCTAACCACAGAAATGACATCCTACCATTTATTGTACTCTCTTAGAGGCAGCCTCTAGATCTAGTCAACCCACAAAAGAAAAGGATTATGCAAGAGTATGACAGGGTTATCTTGGAAGACTATTTCAAAGTTACAGCATAAGTTACAAAAGTAGCATACTAGAAAAAATAACAAATAAAAAACAACTGGATTCTAGTAACAGACTAATACAATCTCTCAAAGCTTTAGTGCAGGAAAGTAGGGAGGCAGGGAGGCAGGGAGGGAGGAGGGGAAGGAAAGAAAAGGAGAAGGGAAGAATCTGAGAGCTCAGTCTAAATCAGCATTTGTCATCCCAGGGTCATATGACCCTGTGGGCCTACAAAATATTCCAAGGCGGGGGAGGAGGGAAACAAGTAAAAACAGAAAAAATGGGATGACACAAGTGTAAAGTAGGAGATTAATATACTGGGTGGGAGGGGGAAGCAGTGCTGGGGACAGGGGTCCTGGGCATAGCAGGCCACTGGGACACTGTTGGAAAAAGACTGAGAAATATAGGTAAAATAAGCCCTTGGGGCATCTGTGTTTCTCTTCTATGACGTTTGGAAAAGATTACCAAAGATAGTGACACCTGGTCAAAATGTATCATTTCACAAAAGAGAGCCAAGTTCTAGGAAAGATTAACAGAAACAGGTAGTGATGGGGAAGGAAAGATAAATTGCCTTGCAGGTGGCTGACCAGGGTTCCATCTCTGGCACCACATAATCCCTTGAGGCTGCTCCACTGCCCCCCCCCCCAATTTCCACCCCCCCTTCCGCAGGCAACCCCCTCAAGCAGAAGTGATCCTGAATGTAGAGCCTGAAGAAAACTCTAAGCACAGTATAGTGTGGCCCAAAAACAAACAAAAAAAATAAAACTAAAAAAGGTGGTTAGCCACACTTACTTTGCCGTTACATCTCATGCTCCTGGCACTTAAGTAGTTTGCTTTTATTTATCCTATAATACAGCTATTTTGATAGTATGTGTATAGTGAACAGAAATGTATACGTATACTCAACAAATCCTTAAAAAAAAATTCTTCACAGAAGTCCTACTGGTTAAAAACCCAAATCTGTTGAGAACAGCATGAGAACTACCTTTTGCTATGAAACTTGCTTGAATCTTACAAATAGCAATATAGAGCAAAAATAAGATACAAAATACATACTACATCATTCCATTGATTAAAAAGTTAATAAGTAAATCATCAACACTGGAAATTGAGATAATGGCTATCTTTGGAAAAGAGTCACAACTTCATAGAGCTTTTTGAATGCAAGTAATAAAGTTACTTAAGGTAAATACAAAAATACTTGGTTATGTGGACTTTGTGCCAATCCAGTGAGTTGTGCACCTTTTTTTTTTTACCTGGCATTACTGGGAACCAACCAGAACTAAATACATGCAAGGCATAACAATTACCACCAACTCTGGTCAGTGAAGGTGGCACAGTGGATTCATGCATTTTTATGAATGTCTATTTGTACTTCAAAAACACACTAAGTGGGGCTGGAGCAATAGCACAGCAGGTAAGGCATTTGCCTAGCGTGCAGCGGACCTAGGTTCGATTCCCAGCAACCTATATGGTCCCCAGAGAACCGCCAGGAGTAATCCCTGAGTGCATGAACCAGGAGTAACTCCTGTGCATAGCCGGGTGTGACCCAAAAAGCAAAACAAACACACACACACACACACACACACACACACTAAGGGCCACAAAGATAGTACTTTGGCCGGGTGCTCCCCTTGCAACAGCACACCCAGGTTCCATCTGTGGCACCACATATAGTCTCCTGAATAACACCAGGAGTGATCCCAGAGCACAGAGCCAGGAATTAAGGCCTGAGCACCTTGGGTGTGGCCTAAAAACCAAACATATAAACGAATACAAGGTCTATGAACTTCATGCCTTTGTAAATTGTGTACATCAACCCTTGACTTTTCTGGTTTTCCATAATTACCTTTTAGCCATAAACTGTCAGCTCCTTCTAACTTATAAAAAGGAAAATCAGCATTTTTAATTTTCATTTTCTTGGTATACTATTACATGGACTACCTAAATAATTACAAAGCCATCTTTTTTAGGTTAGTTCTACTGTAGCTCCCAAGAAAAACACTTGAAATGCTGGTGACCCTGTTTGTGAGCCATTTAGAAAAAAAACAAAAGCTCCCCCTAAAAGGAAGTTTTGTTTGACCATTTGTTTTGCCAGACCTTTGTCTTTTATTATCTGCTTTAACCTGCAGAAGATGGTCAAGGGAACTTCTCAAAAGGCCAGTTCTTCACAAGGGACTGCCCTGCCACAGAGGCAGGGTGAGATGGGAGGGATGGGGGTGGGAGGGATATTACCCATGGTGGTGGAAAATGGGCACTGGTGGAGGGATGGGTATTTGATCATTGTATAATCGAAACCCAAGCACAAAAAATTGTAAATCTACAACTGTACCTCATGGTGTTTCACTAAAAATTTAAAAAAAAATTTAAAAAAATTTAAAAAAAAAAAGGCCAGTTCTTGAGGAAAGCTGTTTCTGCCATCCTACATAGGAACAGAACTCTAGTGTTGGATGTATCCAGTTCTTTCCATCCACTAACAGTTTCAAGTACTTAACTACAAACCCTGCTGGCTTGACCTCATCTCCCACTTCCAATCTGGATCCACAAAAAACTTACACCCCACCCCCGCCCCAATTCTAACAGTATCTATCTACAGAACTTCTCAAGGAGACTAAAGAAGCACCGCGCGAAAATTTACAAGTCAGAGAACCAACTATAAAAGGTCTCCACGCTTCTCGGGGGCACAAAGTCTGCAGCAAAATGAGCCAGGACCTGAACCCTCAAAAAACTCACCGCCTCTTAGGGGTTTTAAAAAAAGGAAAAGAAAAAAAAGACTAAAACCTACACTCGAATAAATACGAAGCTGCGGAGCTGCTTCCTGGGAAACTGGGGAGATACAAAACTCCTGCTGAGACACAGGATCGGAGGACCCCACGACGCTGACCTTCGAGTGGATCCCATCAACCCCCCGGCCGCACGGTGCCGAGCGCGGCCCCTCGTACTTCTCCAAGGACGCAGCGGCCGGAAATGCCAAGGCTGGTGCAAGCCCACCCCCAAGGCTCCCCGGCGCCCCCCGCCTCCCAGCCTCCGGGTTTACCTGACTCGCGCCCGGCACCGCCCGGGGAGTCTCCCAGCTCACTAGCCCCGAGTTTCTCGGGCCCGCAGCGAAGCCACAGCACCAGCCAATCGCCTCTCGCTCAGAACCTCCCGGGATTCGCCTAAGCCCCGGAGGAGCGCGCTCCCGCAAACGGCGGGGCGGGGCGCGACGACCGGGGAACCTGCCGCACGCGGCGCGCGGGCCCACGGGGCCAAGGCAGGAGGAGCACGGGCGGGCGGCGCGCACCGGGCATGCGCGTGCCGCGCGGCGGGCTCGCGGGGCGGGGCTTTGGGTCACGGGCGCGCGCACGCGCGCCGCGGCTCTACTTGCCGCCGGAGGAGATAACGGGTCGAGGCTGGGGCGTCTTAGGACTTCGAGTAGGTTGGCGCTCGCGCTAGCGTTGTGAAGAAGAGCAGAACGACGCGTTCCGCGAGAGCAAACACGGTGTCCCGACAAACCGCGGCTGCTTCGAGGAGGCCAAATGCGCGGTTGGAAAAACACCTTGGGGTTTCAACTTTTTTTTTTTTTCTTTTTGGCTCACACCAGGTGATGCACTCAATAATTAATTCTGGCAGTGCTGGGGGATCAGATGGGATGCTGGGAATCGAACCCGGGTTGGTCACGTGCAAGACAAACGCCCTATCCGCTGCGCTGATCGCTCCAGCCCCGGGGCTTCAACTTTTTAGCTTTGCTCATTCTGTTTTTTGTTTTTGTTCTTTGCATGTCAGCATCAAGTAGAGGCGAGGAGTTGTTTTTGCAGGGGTGGTCAAGTTAGAAAGGCCAAAGGCCGAATCCAGTTTGGGCAGCAAAAAAAAAAAAAAAAAAAGGAGCCGTGCCCAATTTGGAGGGAGGAATGTTTCAGATAGATCAAAATCTGGGAGTGGCAGCCTTTGTGACATAAGCACTAGAAAGAGTGCTAGAGAGCTGGATCCTTATCTGTTTGCGCATTCTGATATGGCCAGATGCTGGACCTTCCAGAATTAAATAAACCAACCTCAAGTTCTTGATGTTGTATCGGTCTGTTAAAATGAGAAAGGTAACGGGTCTCATTTAATCTGTCAGTAGCTGGAAGTAATTAAAAGGTGGTTTTCTTGTTCCCCAAACTAGCGTTACTTTTATAAAAATGTCACGTAAATGCTTTCAGATTCAGCTTTCTTTTTATTCACTCAGACTCTGAATATTTATTATTTTTATTTTTTAAATTTTTATTGGTGAAACACCATGAGGTACAGTTAGGGACATTACAAGTTTTTGTGCTTGGGTTTCAGTTATACAATGATTAAGTACCCATCACTCCACCAGTGCCCATTCTCCAGCACCAATGATCCCAATATCCCTCCCACTCACCACCATCCCCCGCCCCCCACCCCCGTCCCCGCAATCCCATCCCACCTCTGTGGCAGGGCATTCCCTTTTGTTCTCTTTCTCCTTTTGGTTGCTGAGGTTTAAAAAAGAGGCATTGAGTGGCAATCATGTTCCGTCTATAGTCTACTTTCAGCATGCACCTCCTATCCTATACTTTGTGTTCTCTTCTCTATCTGAGCTACCCTTTGCCCTAGGATGTGTGACTGGCCTTCAAGCCATGGAGTAAACCTCCTAATACTTAGCTATTCTTGGGTGTTAGTCTCCTATTTTGTTTCTTTATGTCCCCCAGATGAATGCAATCTTTCTATGTCTGTCCCTCTCTTTCTGACTCATTTCACTTAGCATGATACTTTCCATGTAGTACCACTTGTATGTAAATAACATGACTTCGTCTTTTCTAACAGCTGCATAGTACTCCATTGTATACGTGTACCAGTTGGTCCAAAGGATGTGAGTTATTGTTAAACTGATTAACATTGTATAGGTGTACCAAAATTTCTTTAACCAGTTATCCGTTCTCGGGCACTCGGGTTTTTTCCAGATTTTGGCTATTGTGAACAGTGCAGCAATGAACATAGAAGTGCAGATGTCATTTTGACTGTACTTTTTTGCCTCTCTGGGATATATTCCCAGGAGTGGTATTGCTGGGTCAAATAGGAGCTCAATTTCTAATTTTTAGAGAATCGTCCATACTGTTTTCCAAAAGGGCTGAACCAGTCGACATTCCCACCAGCAGTGAAGGAAGGTCCCTTTCTCGCCACATCCACACCAACACCGGTTGCCTTTGTTCTTTTGGATGTGGGCCAGTCTCTGTGGTGTGAGATATCTCATTGTTGTTTTGATCTGCATCTCCCTGATGATTAGTGATGTAGAGCATTTTCACATGTGCCTTTTAGCCATTTGGATTTCTTCTTTGAGAAAGTTTCAGTTCATTTCATCACCCCATTTTTTGATGGGGTTGGATGTTTTCTTCTCGTGGAGTTCAACCAGTGCTTTGTATATCCTTGATATCAACCCATATCAGATGAGTATTGGGTGAATACTCCTTTCCCATTCTGTAGATTGTAGACTCCAAATATTTATTGAACGTGTACTGCATATCAGTTTCTTCCATGGGTCCTGGATAACAGCCAGTATTAATTATTTTTGCACATCCCCAGGGAATTATCAATGGGTTAATGTTGAGTTACCAAAGTTGGTTCTTAAAGTTCATCAAAGTGGGGTGGAAGAGAACTCAATGGGTTGCAGTTGGCCAGATGTGATCCCCAGTACTACTAGCACCTCTGGGTGTGTTCTCAGCCCCTGAATTTCATGAAAGGAATATACACTTAAGTAAAGGGAAAAGAAAATGTGGGATAAAAAAGGAAAATGTAGAGGCAAACTAGACCAAAATAAATCACAAGCCAAAACTCTTGATTGTAATTCTGCATGAATGCATGATCCTCCAAAGAGTTTTGTTACAGATTGAAATTTGGAATGCATTTTTTGTTTTCACTTTGGTCAAGGTGTGAATCAGATATTAATGAACACAAAGTAAAAATACAAGAGATAAAACATCTTGAAGAAACAATGACCATCCTTTCTGAAAATACATCTGTTTGCTGAAAAATTAATTAATGACTCCAGGAAAGGAAAATTAATCCCTCTTATTACAGGGGGCCAAAATATGTAAGAGGTGTATACTCTCAAATCTACAAATACCAAGCTCCTACAGTGTGCCAGGTATTCAGATCAGTTATGAAATTAGGTCCTAAAAAAAATCTTCAAATTATCCACATGAGTAGCCCAAAATACCACGTCTATTATTCAAGGTTCATCAGAGATACAAAAACAAGAATATTGGATGGATATGAGAGAGAAATATAGATTGTTGTAAGAGATATCTCATCTTAATTTGCAATTACTTAATGAAATACATACTATTTACCATCTGTATATTAATGAACTCAGGTCTTTAGCAGACCATGCATTCATGGAATGTTTGCCAAGAAATACCATAATCCAAGCTACAAAAAAAAAATTTATTTAAAAGGATTCTCTTGCGTGTTTTTCAACTTAGTTGGTTTGGGTTATTTTTTCACAGATGTTTATATATCAAACAACTTTGGAAGTTAGATGGTGTCTTCTCTGGTTTTGAGTACAGATGTCTTTTTAACCAATACAATGAAGATGATGTCTTTCTGTGGTGCAACGGTTGCATAATTTGCTAATAGTCCCCTATTAGAGTAGATGTTTAAGCTTGAAATTTCTTATTCATCATTTTAACACATGGTGTACAAGATTCTATTTGATTCTTTATTTACATTGCCTCTGTGAAACTTGGGGGGTAGGAGAGTGGAAGCAGTTAAAACATACAAATGATACCTGCTATGCAATTAGTCCTAAGGCTCCTCATTTCTGACCCAGAACAAACCATAAAAGACTAATTTGTTCACTTACAAGTAGGATAAAGCATTAGATCCTTCACATTTCTTGACATCAACATTTTTTGTTAGTCATTCAAAGGCAGTAAACTTCAAGTATTTGAATGAGGAAGGGCATTAATATAAGGAACTGAAGTAACAGGCATCAAAGGGTGCTTTTTAAAAAAATGGGATCAGAATGTAGCATATACTCTTGTCAATTATAATGCTGTATATCTGAAAACCTGTATACTGCTAAGCAAACTTAGAAACTAATGCTTCTATAGTTGTCACTGTCCTCCCGTTGTTCATCGATTTCCTCGAGCAGGCCCAGTAACGTCTCCACTGGAGACTTTGTTGTTACTGTGTTTGGCATATCGAATACATCACAGATAATTTTTAAGTATAGAAAGAATTAAAAAGGAAGCAGAAATAGTTTTGAAGTGGTAATGTGGAATCAAGACATCAATCCTAATGTCAGATGGCAAGTAATCATATGAGAGACAAAGCCTTTATTTGAGAGTGCTGTAAGGAGGGTCCAGAGAGATATACAATAGACAGGGCACTTACCTTGCTCACAGGCTGACCTGGGTTCGGTTCTTGGAAATCAATATGGTCCCCAGAGCCTTACCAGGAGTAAACCCTGAGTGCAGTGCCAGGAGTCAGCCCTGAGGACCACCAGGTGTACCCAAAAACAAGAACAAAAACAAAAAAGTGTGGTAAGGAAATGTCTTTTAGAGAGAGAGAAGTCACAATTAATGAGGAAAGATGTGAAGGCACTGCGAATTGAGAAGGATTGAGGTTTTTGTTTTGTGGCTCAGGGTAAACCATAAGAGGTGTTGGGGATTGAACCCAGGTCAGCCGCGTGCAAGGCAAGCCCCTACCGTCTGTACTATCATTCTGGTGCAGGTAGCATGTTTTAATAAAAACGCACAATGATCAGATTTGGGCTAGCAAGAACGTTTGGGAGCAGGAGAGGTCATAACTTTGGGGGAGATTAGAAGTTGCATACAGTAGGATTAAAAAGTAGAGTTTTAATGATTCTTGAAGGTAAGGAATGATATGAGTGTTAGAGAACCTTGAGTAAGAGATTCTCATTTAGAGTTCAATTAGACGTATAAGTATGTAGAAGATAAACATAGCAATTAAAGTGAATGGACAAGAGACTGTCTATAGATGAGTGACAGAAGAAAGCAGACTAGAATAACAGGATTTAAGGTCAGGTATAAAAGGATGAACCTTTGAAAGAGAATGATGTACAGTCAGGTAAAAGAAGTAGGAAAAACAGTTACATGAGCTTTGGACATCGAAGAAAGAGTAGTTAACGTTAGCATTCTGACAATTAGT